GGAAAAAACCTGAAAATGTTGAGCATTGTAGAAAATGAAAATTCAGAATGCTTGATTGTAAGGGTCGAGGTTTATGTTCTGATAGGATGGAAATGACTTTTCACTCTGCCAGATACAGAAGTCTACATTGGGAAGGCATGGGGCAGAAATTTTCAAAAAGTGCGTGACGGGGACCCTGTCTTAATCAGTTTCTATATCCCGGTGCTTAGTGCGGCGCTCAACACAGAGCATGTGCTTCTTCAAGGGTGATTGAGTGAGTTCGTGGTCTTTGTTCTATGGTTTACTTCTGTCTAAAGCACCCCGTTGTTGGACTAATCCTCCAGATTGAACCAAGGGCTTTGTTCTTAGGTGCCACGTGGGTCCGTTGCCCTTCCAGTGATGACCGAATCAGAAAGAGCTGGAGGGTAGTTCAAGCCAGGGTAGCCCCACACAGAGTTTTATACTTTGGGGTTGTAAGCGGGTTGACTGGAACCCTAGTAGGATTAAAAGCTTAAAGGAATTCTAATATGATTGAAAGTGAGAATTATGGAATGATAGCATATTTTTAAAAGTTAGCGTCAGTTATTCCAATTTCCTCATTTTGTAGATGGGGAATTGCAGACGAGGGAGGATGTACAATTTACCCAGAGCCCCAGAAAGCATGTGCGACTTCGGGCCTAAAGAACGGGAGTTAGAAATCCTCTTTCACGATGTTGTACAAATTATTCTCGAGGGCCTCCCTTCCCTCGTCTGCCCTTCTGAACGATAATGGGTGCCGACGTCCTGGCATTGCTGTGCATCTTGCATCGCTGCCGGACAAGGTCCCTTTGCCCTTCCAGATCCACTCTCCACTCTTCTTGACTCTGCTCTCTGTCCAGGGAAGCTGTTTCCTACGGATTCTATCATTCCTGGACCCTCAGGAGTCCACTGGGTTTGGCTACTGGGGTGCCCCAAGGTGATGTGAGGTAAGGAGAACAGTGAGGGCAGGGTGCTTAATCTCCTGTCTTCCTCTCTGCTAGTCACCTTGGGCTGGCTGAGTCTCTTGATAGAGGTCACTGACTCTTTTCAAGATGGCTTCATTTCTCATGATCATTGACCTTTCCAGGTTCCAGGAACCACTCCCTCTTCTTATTTCCTTAGGTCTGAGGTAGTAACAGGGCAGCTGCTGTGATTGCAGTCTCCCTGATGGTCTCCCTGTACCCTCCTCTTTGTCAAATTATTTCAATTTGTGTGCACTGTTTTCTGTTTGGCCTATGACTGATACTATATGCTGAGAACAGAGCTTGTCATGTAGTAGGTTCTTGGTGCATGGAATCTGTTGCTATTAATAGTAGTAGTAATGTCATAAGTGATAGGAGGGGTTGTCATGCAGGTGATGATGTTGGTATTTTCCAAAGCAAATCACATGCAAAGCTTGTAGGAAGTACTCCCCTTCCATTGCCCTCAACTCTTCCCTATCTATTGCTCTTTAACTGCCCATGCTGGAGAGGAAAATGGATGGTTGGCTTCTGACACCTTGCCCTTTGTGGCCAGAATGAAGCAAACTCTCAAGCAGATTCCATCCCTTGTCTGGTGCTCTGTGTAGTTTTTAAACCTGACTTCTGTAGTTAAAAAATACAACAGTGTAAAGAAAGTAATTGCAAATGTAGTTGAAGGTTATTATTATAGTGAAATCAGTGTCAGTCTACAATACCACTTGTACAAAAGCCCAGAAAACAAGAAGCAAAAAGGGAAATAAGAGTCTCTGGTTTGGGGCCTGGATCTGTCTCTGACTTGCAGTGTGACATGGGAGAGTCACTTTAAATGTGTTCCTCAACCCGGTATGATGAAGAATATTCTTGAAAACTGAACACATCAGAGATGGAAAGTTTCAATAAAAATGAACTTAGTGTACACTGATGGCCTTTAATTTTTTTCTCATTCATTTAGGTGGAACATTTAAAAGAGAACCACTAAAGAGCCCAACAGGGATTATTTTATAAAGTCAATCACAATATTTCAGTACCAAGTATGGACTGAATATGTTCCTAATGCTTTGATGAGTTTTCATTGGGTAGCAGTACACCCTTCAAGATATATTTGGTAAGCAAATTTAGAAAACAGTTAAGAAAATGGAAGGATGTTATTTTCAACAATTTTGATCATTTTGACTTCTATATGGGATATATATATATATATATATATATATATCATCACATGACAGGGTGGTATTCTCAGTATTAATTACAGACAAGAGTTAAAGAAAAACTTTAAAAATTGGCTTGTGTGCATTTAATAAATGGAAGTGGTAATCACTAGACATGATTTGGAGTTCACTAAGAAAATGGTATACCTTAGTAACAGCATTCTCTTTGTTTAGTAGTATTTAGTCTGTGGTCATGGGAATGCTATAAATTTGTTGTGTCTGGAAGTCAGCAGGGCATTTTGCTAGGTCTTTCTTGATGTTCTGGTGTATGAGATGAAGATGTATGTGCTGGATGAAAACTGGATCAAGAATCAAGGCTCTAGTCCAGTTATTTTCTCATTATGAAGTTGTGTGAATTCCTGTTAGAGGACTGTAGGGGCATGCTGTTTCTACCCTTGGCTCTCTCTTGCTCTCTTTAATTTTTTTAATTTTTAATTTTGAAATAATTATAGATTCAAAAGAAGTTTCAAAGTTACATACAAGGGAGGCCTGTGTATAACCTAGCCTCCCTCAGTGATATTATCTTGCATAATCACAGTATATTATTAAAATTAGAACATTAACATTGATTGAATCCACAGAGTTTATTCAGAATTCATCACATTTTAGAAGTTGTTTTGGCTATTCTAGGTCTTTTGCATTTTTATGTGACTGTTGGAATAACTTTAACAATTTCTGTTAAAAAGATTTTCTGGGGGGCACCTGGGTGATGCAGTCAGTTAAGCATCCAACTCTTGGTTTCGGCTCAGGTCATGGTCTCAGGGTTGTGGGATCGAGCCCCACATCAGGCTCTGCGCTCAGCATGGAGTCCGCTTGGGACTCTCTCCTCTCCCTCTGTCCTCCCCCTGCCCCAACCCACTTTCTCTCTCTAACATAAATCAATAAATCTTAAAAAAAAAAAAAGCCTTTCTGGAATTTTGATTGGTATCGGGTTGATGAATTGGGGAAGAATTTACATCTTATAATATTGTGTTTTCCTACCCATAAACAAAGTATGTATCTCTGTTTATTTCATTATGTCATTCATTTATCTCCACAATGTTTTCTACCTTTTAGTGTGTATGTCTTTTATACCTTTTCTCAAATTTATCCCTGAGTATTTAATATTTTCTAGTGATATTTTAAATTAAAGTTTTAAATTTTATTTATTAATAAACTATTCTAATTGCTTATTAATTAACAGTTCTAATTGTTCATTATTAATACGTAAACATACAATTGATTTTTGTGTACTGATCCTGTATCCTGCAACCTCGATAAATTTAGTTGTTAGTTGTAGAAACTTTTTTTCACATTGATAGAATTTAGTACATAAACTGTCATAGTCTTTGAAGGACATTTTTACTTCTCCTTTCCCAATCTGAATATCTTCTCTTGTTGCAGTACAAGAACCTCCAGTATAAAGTCGGGTAACCCCTACTCTGGGTGCACAAGTCAGTTTTAGCTTATAGGGTTTTGCATTTAAACACTCAGAACACCTTTTGTCCCATGAATACCTGCCCCTTGGGCCACCTGGGTTGCTCAGTCAGTTAAGTGTCCATCTTGGGCTCAGGTCATGATCTCGGAGTCCCCGGATCGAGCCCCACATTGGGCTTCCTGCTCAGCGGGGAGTCTGCTTCTCCCTCCACCCCTCACCCAGCTTGTGCTCTCTCTCTGTCAAATAAATAAAAAAAGTATTTTAAAAAAATTTGAATACCTGCCCCTTTCCCTCTATACTGGTAAAACCCATGTCAGGATACTACATCTACTAACATGAACATGCATTCCAGATTTAAAACAAGATGAAGATACCCAGTAGAGAAAGTCACTGAAGTCTTAACAGCTTGAAGGCAGTGATTTCAGACTAGAAACCAAAAACTGAAGAAATATACATGGACGTTAGGGAAAAGGAGGTGGATAGAAAAGTTGCCTGGACTGGGGAGCCTGGGTGGCTCAGTTGGTTAAGTGTCTGACTCCTGGTTTTGGTTCAGGTCATCATCTCAGGGTTGTGAGGTGGAGCCCTGTATCAGGCTCTGCGCCTAGCATGGAATGTGCTTGAGAGTCTTTCTCCTCCCTCTCCCTCCCCTTCTGCTCCTCCTCCTGCTTGTTCATTCTCTCTCTCTCTCTCTCAAATAAATAAAAAAATAAAATAAAATCTTTAAAAAAAAATAAGTAAAGTTGCCTGGCAGTAGCCAAGAAGTAACTGGTCTTCAAAGTACATAGGAGGGATTTGTAGTGGGGAAATGGGATGATTCAGATTTCCTCAGAGACTGCAAAGGCAAAAAGAAAGACAGACAGATGGATAAACCAAGAAACAGACTCTTAACTCTAGAGAACAAACTGCTGGTTACCAGAAGGGAGGTGGGTGGGGGGATGGGTGAAATAGGTGATGGGGATTTAGGAGGGCACTTGTTGTGATGAGCACCAGGTGATTAAAGTAAAAATCAAAAAAAACAAATCTCTTCATTGACTTAAATATGGCCCCATTAGTTTGGAGAAATTTTAGGTAAGAGATTAAAAATACTAGGCAATGGTGAAGAGTTGAAAAGAATGGAATAAACCATGGAATAGGGGTGTCCCTGGAGCATGGATGGAAGAAACTCCTTTATGTTGTGTTTGCCATCAGAATTGTACATGGGAGATAAAGAAGCATGACAGGTCATTTTGGGACCTATCTTTAGGGGTGTGAAGGAAACAACCACAGCATCAAACCTATATCCTCCCACCCACAGAGTTGTCAGAAGTAGTGCTTTGTGATGTTGAAGCCACCCAGGGCTACCATTGGCTGGAACAGCGCGTTGATGACCAAAGCCAAAGGGTGTGGCCCCTCATTGCCTAAGGGAGGGTATGTATATATACACACACTGAGGTCAGGAGCCCTGAGATAGATCACTGGGAAGCTTAAATATGGTGATAGGATCTGCACACCAGAAGAGCCTAGCATAAATGTAGAACAACCAAGTATGAGAATGAAATGGCCAACCCCACGCACAAAGGAAGGAAGAAGATTTCTTGTCACTCCAACAACAAAAAAATGACAAGGTAACATGTCTCTATTCATGTTTCTCCTCTTTAGATTCCCATCCCACAACCCCTACACTGCCCTTGTCTAGCAAAAACCCTTTCCCCAACTTGCACCCCTTCTCTTAAAGCCTTTCAGCCATCCACCCTCCATTCTCTTCCTCCAAACTTATGTCCTTCTGGCTTCATCCTCTTTTTCTACCAGGTGGAAAAGGCAATCATGAATGTAACGTTAGGCCATCAACAGAATTTGAAAAAAATGAAGAAAGCAAAAAAACCAACAATATTAGTCTGTTACTACAGCACGAACAAGAAAATCCCTCAGAATCAGCTGGAGTATAAACAAGAGACCCCAGAGAGCTCTGACAATCCAAGTAATGGCCTGTGAGTGGCAGGGGCCAGAGATCTGGGCCTATCTCCTGTGTCTCATGAGGGTGCAATGGAGAAATAGCCATTACACAGAGACCACATCTGAAAAATGGTGGTGATGATGACAGTAAAATCAAGTTATCAACAAGAGATGTGTGTTTCTGTGAGTTTTGTGATGGTGGGGAGGGAAGGAAGGGAAGAGGAAGGTGTTGGAGAAGGGAAGAGGTGAGGCAGGCCCTGGAGTGTTGGGAGACCAGAATATCAGTTAGACAGACATCAGGAATAAAGACTGAGTCAGGACTGAGAACTGAAGACAGATTTACATCTTAACATTTTATCTCCCAGGTGAGGAGTAAAAGGACTTGGTATTTCTTCAAGTGTGTGTGTCGGGGTTGGGGGGGGGACAATAGATGGGAAGAGTTGTAATGGATACGGAGTAACTGGCACTCTCACAAAAAGGCAGACAACAAAATTGCCTTCAGGCCACTTACCTTGTAGTGATGTACTTGTAACCCACCTTAGGCTATAAGGATCTGAAGCCCCCAGGTTCAAAAACTTACCTCCAGAAAGTCACTGATAGCACCCCCACACACTAAAACAATGATATTTGGAAGCCACAATATCAACACTAATTCGTGCACTTTCTTGTTAAGAAGCTTGGGGTGGAACAGTGGCTTACCAAGGGTAGGACCATGGGAGAGGTTATCCCCATTCCCACAGGCAATAAAGGGGAGCATTGTCTACAGAAAATTTTAATACAAGAATAAAATTGAGTAAAAGCTGATCTTTATGTTATCACCAGCATACTTCAGTACGTCCAATGTCAGTAATTAAGTAGCCTTCCCCCGAAAAAAAAAAAAAAAATTGTGTGTGTGTGTGTGTGTGTAATAATGGAGTGGTTTTGATATCAAATGTAAAGGTTGAATTAATTACATTCCTTGAGTGACTTGTTCAGGACTCTCTTCTGTTTACTCATTCATTCCTCTTATTGCTACCGTCCAGTCCTATTTCCTTTTTCATAGGTAGTTGGTCCAATGCATTGATGTGTATACTTTTCTCTCTTTTTTTTAAGATTTATTTGAGAGAGAGAGATCGAGCCGAGCGAGTGCACGTTGGGGGGGAGGGAGCAGAGGGAGAGGGAGGGAGAGTCTCAAGCAGACTCCCCACTGAGCACAGAGCCCCACAGGGGACCTAATCTCACGGCCCTAGGATCGTGATCTGAGCCGAAACTAAGAGTTGCCTGCCTAACCAGCTGTACCACCCATGCACCCCTTGATGTGTATACTTTTCTTTAGTGTTAATGAAATGTGTATTATTGTTTCCTGGGCATTTGCTTTTAAGTTACATCTCTCTTTTTTTTATATTATACTTCGTTTCTGGACGTTTCACTGAGCCCTGTTTTTAAGATCATCCGTGTTCCTACGAGTATGTCTAGTCTGTTGATCCCTTGTAAATGCATATGTCAGATAAATTCTTAATTTTATAAATTTTAGAAAGATATTTAGATTTTTTATATTTGCACCTACCCCTTGGTACATGTTTTGTTTAATTTATACCTCAGTGTTTCATTTTCTTTGAAGTGACTTGTAAACAATATTGTGTGTTTAATTTTGGTTTCCACATGGTCTTTGTTGGTATATAGAATTGTGACTGATATTTTAAATTAAACTTTTCATTTTGATGTCATTGTACAATATCACAACCAGAAAATTGACATTGATGTAATCCATCTACCTTATTCAAATTTCAACGGTTTTATACATGCTCATTTGCATGTGTATGTGTACGTATTTATGCAGTTTTATCCCATGTGGAAATTACTGTGACAATCACCACAGTAAAGATAGAGAAGACCTTCATCAACACAGCAGCCCCTCATGTTGCCCTTTAATCCCTCCCCCCCCAAACCCCAAGTTCATAACTCCTAGCAGCCACTATTATCTACCTCTATAATTTGTCATTTTAAGAGTATTATATAAATAGAATCATTTACTATGTAACCTTTTGGGATTAGCTTCTTTTCACTCAACATAAATCTCTGGGGATTCACCTCAGTTTGCTGCATGTATCAATAATTCATTCCTTTTTATCCCTAGCATAGTATTCCATGGCATAGATAAGATGGAACACAGTTTGTTTCATCATTCTACCTGTTGAAGGACATCTGGGCTATGTCCAGTGTTTGACTATTAAGAAGCTGCTATAACCATTCACATACAAGATTTCGTGTGAACATAAGGTTTAATTTTTTCCACATCCTCACTAGCATTTGGTTTTATCACTATTTTTTATTTTAGCCTTTCTGATAGGTATGTATGATATCTTACTGTGGTCTTAATTTACTTGTCCCTGACAGCTAATTATGAGATCTTTTCATGTGCTTAATTGCCGTCTGTATATTCTTAGCCCTCTTTTTTGGAGAGGTGCATGATGATGGCTTAGAGCAAAGATATAGACAATATATGGATCAAGTCTGAAAATAACACAAGGATTGGAAGATTTGTTTCATAACAGAATCTAAATCCAATAAGGGTTTCAGTAGGCTAGACTCGGGACCACTAGAATGATGACATTAATCAAACAAGGAAAATTTACTAGGGAAAAATGACAAGTTCACATCTTGGTGTCCCAAACATAATATCTTGTGAATAGGATAGGAAACATTTGGTTTAACAGTAGTATTAAAAAGTCAGCCTAGAGGGGTGCCTGGGTGGCTCAGTTGGTTAGGCGACTGCCTTCGGCTAGGGTCATGATCCTGGAGTCCCGGGATCAAGTCCCACGTCAGGTTCCTGGCTCAGCGGGGAGTCTGCTTCTCCCTCTGACCCTCCTCCCTCTCATGCTCTCTGTCTCTCATTCTCTCTCTTGCAAATAAATAAAATCTTAAAAAAAAAAAGTCAGCCTAGAGATTTCAATTGACAGTAAGTATAAACTGAGCCAAGGGTGTGAAAAGGCTGCCAAAATGCAACTGGTAACTTTGACTAAGTTCCATGGAAATGTAGCACCTAAAGCAAGAGGTGACATTCTCCCGTATTGATAAGACCACACTTTGAGAACTATTTCCAGTTGTGGGCCTCATACTTTTAAGAAGAAGAGAGGCGAATTAAATAGTGACTAGAGGAAAGCAAGGCAGATGCTGTTGGGATTTGAAATTGTTTGAAGGACAAATAATGAAAGGAACTGTAGCAGGCAGGGTCCTTGTGGGAAATAGATTAAACTCAAATTGAAATAGGATGATGAGAGAAGAGTTTCACGAAGCCTTGATTACGAAGGAAGGAAAGAGTGTAGGGAAACCACAAGAAGTAGTGACATAAGCTGGAGCTAGAAACAGGGTGAGTGCTACTAACCCTAGATCAGATAGGGAGAAGGAGGAGATAGTTACTGGAACCTGGATAATGAGAGAACTCTGTGGAAAGAACTGTCAGAAACAAATGTGATGGTCTACGTAAAGGGATGAAACAAGACTAGGAAAACCCTGCACAGAAGGAGCCAGGGGAATAAGTACTCTGACTTCATTCTCCTCCTTCCCTTCCAGTCATCTTCAGGGGTTTCCCATTGATAAAAACAATAAGCAGAAGTCAGGAGACAAGAGAGCCCATTAATATAGTCCGTGGTTCACACAGGGCAGGGTAGGGAAGAGTGGAAAATGGATCTGGCAATGCAAATGGAGGATATACTAAGAACACTGAACTCAGAGAAGCCAATAGTATCTTTCTTCAGCTTTCTGACGTAGGGTCAGGATTGGACTTGGACTTGGACTTGCTGAGTGTCATCACCCTGATGAGTAGTATCACAGTAAGGAACTTAGCGGGGAGTTACATAAACTCCCTCAGGCAGTTGATCTGGATAAGTTTGCCCTGGGAAGGTATTTACAAAATGTTCAATTGTAATTTAGGGACATTTTGCTCTTTCTTTTGGGCTAAAATGTCTTACCATGCCAATCATTCTCTACACCAAAATCTCCAACAACTGCAACTGTATTTCCCCTGGCAGAAAACAGGAAGTTGTGTTTTTAAACTTGGTATTACTTGAAAAAGGAGAGTTACTAAATGTAGAAACCTGAACAGTAGCAAGGATGTGGGGTGGCTTGACCACCAATTTCCTCAGTCTTTTTTGCTATGCCATCATCAGGACCTAGCATGGAGCCTGACACAAGAGACAGCCAGTAAATATTTGCTGAAAAATGGTACAGACGTGGGAAGTGAGGATAGCAGAGTAATGTAGAGAAAGACGATAGTTACTCGTGTTATATGTGGTTCTAGTCCCAGCTCTAGTTATAACTCTATAAATATAGAGTCTTGGGCTAGTTATATAAATTCCCTTGAAGGTAGTTTCCAGACATCTATTTTTTTGAATGTAGATTTAGTCAGTAAGAGTTGGGGTCTTTAGCCCCTACTATGTGGCTTATTAATCTGGGTTCAGAAATATTCAAGATAATAGATTGAGTCCCTTTAGCTTAGGTTTCAGTAAACAGAGAGGCTGATCTGTACCCAAAGAAAAGTTCTAGGTACAGACAGTAGATATACTAAATTTATTTTAGATTGTTTTTATATAAGGCCAGCTTAATATTAAAAAGACCCCAAATAATTATTTCACTTTATTGAACTGTAAACCAATGCACATTTAAACTAAGAATAATTCCTTTGGATTGAAATGCTTCACTAACAGTGAAGAACACTTATACTAATAACATCTAACATTTTCAAATAATTATATCTGTATGTCCAGCATTGCTTAGCACTTATTAAATATCAAGCACTTCATATGTATAATGTAATTTAACCCTTATGGCCAACTTATGAGACTAGTATTATTGCTGTCACCATCCTTGGGAAATGAGGAACAGGCCAAATGGTATGTGAGTGAAATGGTGATTCAAACCCAGGCAGTTTTAAGAGTCTGAATTCTTTATCTACTTATTATAAATATTAGCATCACTTGACTTTTCATCAGATACATAAGGGTAAAACATGCATATTTTCTGCAATACAAATTCAAAGATATTATGATTGCATACTTCATTTTAGAGATTGCATTATGGAATTTTCCCTTTTATGGCACTGACATCTAAACACACTTAAGTTCATGCATTTCAGATATCACAGAAAAAACATATGGGGGTGCCTGGGTGCCTCAGCTGAGCATCTGACT